ACCCTCTACTGCCTGCCAATTAATATTTTAGCTCCCATTATACCTTGGATAGCCCAAGTATCCCACCTAAACTCCCAACCAATCCACAAAAGAATTCAAGATTGTGGAGACATAAATGACACTTTCTTCTACCTATTGGGTTTGGGGCAGTGCTTTTTAAATTGATAATTCACTCTAAGATGGCTGGGCATCCATTCTGATTCCCCTCCGTTGTCTGCAAATGAGGAATATGATTTCTACAACATCTTTTATGATTATATTATGCCATTTATAGTGTAAGCTTCAAGAAGGCAGAGACTAAACCATTTGCCTAATTTATCCCTGAATTTCCCTCTAGCAGAATAATTTGGAGGCATTTCTATCACAAAAATAAAAACAAAAAATAATGCTCTAAAAGGTACTGAAGCAGTAGTCAATTCCTATTCCTTCCTAGGCCCCCAATGTGCAATGTTACCAGATGCCAAGTTGCAACGAAGTGGGTACCAACAGAACAGTTTACCACTCGCTATTAAGTGACTGAAAAAATCTCAGATTGATTTATCAGAAATGGAAGTAGGCTAGAAACGTAAGCAGCTGCCCTAGTTTCATTGCCCTTTGGTAGAGTGCCACAGATGATAACCAGAATGGAAGTGGGACAATCACACTACTGAGAGCAGTCTGTTCTCAATGGCTCCTGCCAGGGGCCAGTAGGACTTGGGCTGAGGTAGGCAGTGTGCCTATGGCACACAGAACTGTAGTTCAGTTCAAAGTATGGTTGTTACCAAGAAGGGCAGTTCAAGGAACACAGGAGGAACCAGCAGGGTGCTTGGAGAAGTAATCTAAGAGGTATAATCTTTGATATAGAATCAAAAATCCAGAGGACAGAGGGGTCATATAAGAACAGCACATGGAGCAATCATGAAGTATTGTTCACTCAGCTTCTGAATTTATTATGTACCATCTGTGTCAGCACACATTTTTTAAAACAAGGAAATCAACTATATTGAAATATAGTTATAAAAATATAAAAAAAAAGTTCAGGGACCCAACCCCTAAATTTAGAAGGATGGGGAACAGCAAAGCACAGAAAGTTCTATAATAAGGGAGGGAGTGGGGAGAGACAGGAGTTACAGGAAGAAAAGCCCTAAAATAACAGGCAAAGACAGAGATCTGGAAGAGTACAGTGGTAAGCTTAAATACTGGGGTTTGGATTAAGAAGGTACATTTCAGTAGAGACTAAACAGAAAAACACCTTTGGTCCATCTCAATAACAACTCTTAACAATTCCAAAAGACTTATGATGGAAAATGCTATCCACATTCAGAGAGCGAACTATGGAGTCTGAATGCAGACTGAAGCATTCTATTTGCATTTTGTTGGGTTTTTTTCTTTCTCATGATTTTTCCCTTTTGTTTTGATTCTTCTTTCGCCACATGACTAATGTAGAAATATGTTTAACATGATAGTACATGTATAACCTATACCAGATTGCTTACTGTCCTGGAGAAGGGAGGAAGAAAGAGAGGGAGAAAATTTTGGAACTTAAAATCCCACAAAAATGAATGTTGAAACTATCTTTACATTTAATTGGGGGAAAAAAAAGTACTATTAAGTACGTGTGTGTAGAGCACCAGCCCTGGAGTCAGGAAGACCTGAGTTCAAATCCAGCCTCAAACACATAACACTCACTAGCTGTGTAACTCCGGGCAAGTCACTTAACTGCCTCACCAATTAAAAAAAAAAGTGTGTGTGTGTGTGTGTGTGTGTGTATACACACACACACATACTTTTTTGTTGTGTGTGTGTATATATATATATATATTCTTTTTTTTCCTTTTTTTTTGTGAGGCAATTGGTGTTAAGTGATTTGCCCAGGGTCACACAGCTAGTAAGTGTCAAGTGTTTGGTCTGAGGCCGCATTTGAACCTGGGTCCTCCTGACTTCAGGGCCAGTACTCTATCCACTGCGCCACCTGGCTGCCCCCTGTACATAAATTCTTAATATATTCTTTAATTGACATAGCAGGTATAGATTTGGATAGTTTGTCATAAGAATCATGGCAAGTAGGAAAGCCTATCAGCTCTGGTACTCTGCCTTTGCTGGTCAAACAGGTCCTTGGCTAAGGCTGCCCACTCAAGCGCTACACAGCTATGATGGCAACTGAGTTTGAAATTCAATTTGATGAATATTTATTCAGTGGGTATTATATGAAGAGCACACTGGAAACTGACATCAGAATGTCTGTGTCCATGACCTTTTATAGCACATACAGATGAAAATTCTAGAAATCAGTTTAATTTGTTGCAAAGAATTAGCTTCTTTACAAAATCATTTTAATTCTTTACAAAGCATCATAAGGACATGATTAGGTTGGCTCCTAGAAAGAAGTTTTGATATATGCATCAAAGCAAAATGGAATAAAGATGAAAACTTTCAAAAGAGTCCAAAAGAGAAACCTAGCACCTCTCCTCTGAAAAGGGAAGGACTTCCAAAGTCAAATCTACCTAGCTAGACAGAATCCTAACTAGATGACAAAATTTCAACTGTAGCTACTGAATAGTACTTATAAATTAATTGAAGACACCTTTTCACCTAAAACCATTTTAGCTGGCACTTCAATGGGGAAAAAAAACAACAGTTTTGAATTTTTCTCAGTAATTTTTATTTTAAATTACATTAAGAGCCAAAGAAGACAAGGAAAGTGTGTTATTTTGTGATTTATAAAGGCTGACTACATTAATACTGGGTAAATTGCAAAACCAAGCTGAACTTCAAATATATAATGCACAAGACATTGTCACTCTGGAGCTAGGGGGAAGTATCAGAGACATTTTGTAACAACCTCCAGGGAAGAACAACAAATATCTGAACTTTTCAAGATAGGTAATCCACCTTGTATGGCTTTAGTCCAAGGTCAAAGTCTACCTTGTTTCATTTTAGTCTAAGGTCAAAACATACAAGGAACTAGCAAATGTATGATTTGCGACTTCTGACAAGTCTGTCATAAGTATCAACTGCTTGGCTATATATCCACCCATATCTCTGCTATTCTGAAACCTCATTACAGCATGGAAGAGTCTAAATCTGGCAGGTCCTCCACCAAGCTGAAGGTTTTAAGTACGGGCTTGGTGATAAGATAATATAATTGCTGTCTGAAGACCAGCCTAGCTGACTTCAGAAAGGCTCTTTACCAAGTTGGCCACAATGTAATGAATTTTTTGGACAGAGCAACTGTTAGGGACAACTTAACTTGTAGATACATTGTGATCTGTGTTGGAGGGAATATCCACAACAATTAAATTATGATTCCTTGAAGTATTAAGTATCTGATAGTTATCCAGATGGCTCTTTATAAAAAATCTTGAGTAGGCGAAGGGAGAGTGAGGAGTAGGAAATGACTCAAATTTTGGAAACCTGAGTAAGGGAAAGGTGGTGGTGCACTCAACAGACATAAGGAAGTTAAATTAATGCACTGTTGGTGGAGTTGTGAGCTGATCCAATCATTCTGGAGAGTAATTTAGAACTATACCCAAAGGGCTATAAAGCTGTGCATACCCTTTGACCCAGCAATATCACTTCTAGGCCTATATCCCAAAGAGATTATAAAAATGGGAAATGGATGCACATTTACAAAAAATATCTATAGCAGCTCTTTTTGTGGTGGTCAAGAATTGGAAATTCTTAGGGATGCCTATCAATTGGGGAATGGCTGAACAAGTTGTGGTACATGAATGTAATGGAATACTATTGTTCCGTAAGAAATGATGAGCAGGTGGACTTCAGCAAAACCTGGAAAGACTTACATGAACTGATACTAGGTGAAGTGAGCAGAACCAGGAGAACATTGTACACAGCAACAGCAACACTGTGCGATGACTAACTTTGACAGACTTAGCTCTTCTCAGCAACTGTAGGACCTAAGACAACTCCAAAAGACTCATAACGGAAAACGCTATCCACATTCAGAGAAAGAACTACAGAGTCTGAATGCAGATCAAAGCATATGATTTGCTCTCTCTTTTTTTTCTTTTGGTTTTGTTTCTTCTTTCTCATGGTTCCTCCCATTGGTTCTAATTCTTCTTTACAACATGACTAATATGAAAATATGTTTAATATGAATGTATATGTAGAGCCTATAACAGATTGCATACCACATTAGGGAGGGAGGAGAAGAAGGAGGGGAAGAAAATTTAAAACTCAAAATCTTATAGAAGTGAATACTGAAAACTAAAAATAAATAAATTTTTTAAAAAAGAAATAATGAAGTTCAGAAGGTGGGTGGATTTTGGAGGACAGATAAGTTTTCTCTGGGGACATATTGAGTTTGAGTTGCCTATAAAACATCCAGTTAGAAATGTCCAACAGGCTGTTGGTGATGCAGGACTGGAGCTTAAAAGAGAGAATAAGGCTGGATATGGTGGGAGCCATGTCCACACAGATGATAATCAACCACCTGGGAGCTGAAGAAGTCACTGAGAAAGAGAGTATACAGAAAAGAGAAGAAAGCCCAGGACTGAGCTTTGGGGAATACCTACAGTTATGAAGTATGACATGGTCAATAATCTATCCAAGGAGACTGAGAAGAAAAGTCAGACAGGTAAGAAGAAAAACAAGAGAGCTATTTCTTTGTATTGTAAGGATATACCTAGGATAGCACCTGTCACATACTTAATAAATGCTTAGGGATAATTATGAATAATAAAGGACAAAAATACAGTGAAGGGGGAAATAGCTCATTTTTCTAAAGAGTTTTTTCTCCAAATGCCAAAATAATAATTTCTGTCAAAATACTACTGTCAAATGACCCTGAAAAGATACCCAAATAAATCTTAAGAAAAAGGGTAGTGAGTACACAAAAATTATTTTCATTCAAGATTCAAAAAGACAAAGTTATTCAGATTAGAATCTACTGAAGCATTTCCAGTATATAATATATGAATATTGTACCCATGAAGTATCGTGAAGATAATTTCCCCAGAGTGCAAAGCAGATAAATATATGTTGTATTAGGAAGGATTTACCTGTCTGTCATGTTGAGTTTAGAAATTACATCAGCCTGTTTAAAAAAAACAAACAATAACAAAGAAAAGATTAATAAAGAATAAAGAGATTAAAACTTGCTTATAAACAGAATATGAATATGCTAGCAGAATGTTAGTTTGAATAATAAACCACAAAATTCCCAAATTTTACTCTGACCTGAAGTAAAACTTTATGTTTAAAAAATATGGGATACAAGGGCAGCTAGCAAAGAGCACCAGCCCTGGAGTCAGGAAGCCCCAAGTTCAAATCTGTACTCAGACTTTTACTAGCTGTGTGATCCTGGGCAAGTTGCTTAATCCTAACTGCCTCCAAAAAAAAGTATGGGGTAGTATGTTGAGATAAAAACTAATTAACCAAAGTTCTCTGCTATGACATTTATTTTCTAATTGGATATTCAAAGCCAAATAATGAATAAAGTTACAAGAGTAGACAGATATACCTGCATTATGTGGCACAAAGTGCTACGGGCAAGAATAAGGTAACATGGGTTTTAGCCACTGTTATCAAAAAAAGGAAAAGGATTCAGCTTCACCACATTTAGGAGAAACCTGTCAGGTTCTCAGATACTTTTCTTACACTTAGCTTAGTACTGAAAGAGTTAATATCTCCATTATTCACAATGAAAGAAAGGAACAGCAATATGTATAATGCAAAATAACCAATCACCTGTATCTTTACATTTGATTATGAATGACTCATTTTTTTCCTTGAAGACTTTACTAATTATGTTTCAACAGACTAATTAAGATGAGTTTAAATTCCCTGAGAATATGTCAAATAATAGCACTACTAGCTGGCCAACAGTGTGGTAGAAAATGCATGGCTTATGTGTAGTAATCCACATGTAGATAATTTAGAATTGACAATAACTGGAAGTGAAATCAGAAAGAATAACCTTTTAAATATAAATTACTGTACAAATACACTTCAATGTAACAAGGTGTTTGCCTTCATTACAATTCACAAAATCTTTTTTTTTTTAAGTCTCTTAAAGACTGGTCCTTCCCTATTTTGCCCAGGCTAGAAGTACATTAGTCGCTCATGGGCCCAATCTCCTTCTAACTGGAATGGGAGTTTTAACCTGCTCCTTTTCTGACCGGGGTTGGTTCACTCCTCATTAGGCAGCCTAGTCGACACTTCTTCCCAGAAACTCCCAATATTGCTGCTAGACTTAGTATGGATACCTGATGAGTTTAGCACATTGTGGCTCAGAACTTCTGGGCTCAACTTTTCTGGGCTCAACTACTCCACCAACCTCTGCATCAGTAGTAGCAGGAATTATAGGCATACACCACCACTATGTTCCTCATCACAGTTTTGTAGGTTCTCCAAAGCTTAATGTATTTTTTTTGAGCCGTACTTTTGTTTTCCAAAGTACAGAGAACTCCCTTAAAGAGTCATAGAGAGTTTTCTAGGGGCACCAAGAGGTTATGTGACTTGCCCAGGATAACAGAGCAAGTATTATTAGAGGTAGGATGCAAAAAAAATTTTCCCACCTCCAAGTCTGGCTCTCCGTCTACCAGACCATGCATCCTCTCTATGCAATACTTAGTCCAGTCAGAATGTACTTAATGTGCTGAGTGGGAATATGAGTTTTCTTTTATGAGTAAACTATATGAAATTCATTCTACACATAAGTTTTATAGTATTAATTCTATGAATACAAGCATTTCAAAGACTTCTCTCAAACTTCTCTCTTACCTGACCTAGAAAATATATTCCTCCACCTACAATAAAAGCTGAAATTGCTGTGCCAAATACAGCAAACAGAGTGATGGAACCAATGTTCTGAAAGAAGTTACCCTAAAAAAAAAAAGAGGCAAGAACAAGACAAAGAGTTAAACTAAAAATAAATTCAACTAATAGAGAGACATCTCTTTAACAGATACGCAACTTACTCCCACATTATATATTTAATAAAGGCAATGGATTCCGGAGTCACAAGACCTCCACTCCTGACAGCCTTACACTTACTGCTGGATAACCTAGGGAAATTCACTTGACTTCTTTAGGCCTTATTTTTGTAACCCAAAAAATGACTGTGCTGGACTAAATTACTTCCAATATCCCTTCCAGCTCTAATCTTATTAATCAGCACTGAACAAATTAAACCTAGTCCACTCAATTACATATTATGTTTATTTAACTAAGAAATATTTTTTTAATCCTCAAGGTCTTTAGAAATTACATTAAGTGTATATTCCATTTCATTATATCATATTCATCAAATATTAAAGTATAATATTAAGAAATTATTTAAAGTACAAGTACTATGATATGATACATTCTTCAAAATTTCCATATGAGCCTGAAAACTGTACCAGCCTATTTTTCTTTGCTTAAATGAGGAAGTATTCATTGTTTAAATATCAGGTCCCCTACTGATAAACAAATACTAAAAATATTAGACATCATCTGTGGATATGTACAAAGACTACTGTCGTTGTCTAGTATCATTGTCAGGCCACAGATTTTTAAAAATCTACTTCAGGAAAGCATACCAGCTAACAAGAATCAAAGCAAAATTATAAAACCGAGACCAAAAGGATCATCTGGATGGCATCCCTGGCTGACAGAAGTCATTTTACTTTACATTTACTAGTCTTAGTTATTTTGTTTGATAAGGTGGCTTCTGCTGTTCCCTGATCTTTAAAGGAACAGCAACTACTACTGAAGTCCTGTCCTGGTGCTTCAGTGTGGTATGGTGGGGATCCTTGCTCTAGAAGGGTTACCAGAATTTCTGCTCCTACCCTGATCTAAAAGATTGAGTATGGGCCTGGAGGCAGATTATTCATCAGATGTCAAAGGTTAAACTTGGCTAAATGCAAAGAAACTCAATACCCTCAGGGTTAGCCTTCTGGGTAATGAATTTTTTCAGCCATACAAGTCATGAAGATTGTCTGCTAAAAGAGTTGCTATTTGCCAGTCACGTGAATACATGGATTAAATTATAGATCTCTTAAATATTAGGGTTCTGAAGGAACAAAGAATTTAAAAATAACTCACTGCAAACAACATATTTTATTTTTTCTAAAAAAGCATTTCCACCTGTGATTTCCTTTCATCTCAAAATAGCTGCATTACTTTACAATTTTTAAATAGATTAAACAAATCACTCCTAGTCTGCTTTTGGGGATCTAACACTGAAAAAGCTCATTATTCAGATAGACTATAGATATGAAAATGCCTGGCCAGTATTAGTTTTAGAATTAAAAATGTACAGGTCAAACAGAAGCTGAAGTTACTTATCCCGTCAAAAGAAACAAATCTATCTGTTTCTTTGTGACACTGTTAACTTTTTTCTTTATATGATATTTATATCTTAGATCAGTGGTGTCAAACTCAAACAGAAACAGAGGCCACTATACCACACACAAAAATCCCTGTGGGAGCATTCTGACTTAGAAAACCATCTATTAACATTATCTATGTTGTACTGTATTTTTATTTTTCTCATTAAATAATTCCCAATTACATTTTAATCTAGTTGAGGCTGCCCTTGGGAGTGTTATTGGTCATGTGCAGGCACATATTTGACACCTCTTAGACAACTCATGTTAGTAGAGCACTTCGTTATTTTCAAAATATTTAAAGAAACTAGCAGAGACTGTACCAATGAATGATAATCTCATTTAGATCTGAACCCCAAACTCAAAATTACATGAATGATTCAAAATTAAAACCCATATACAGACAAGAAAAGTACCAAAGAATCACAAAATGTCACCAGAAGGATCTAGGAGTATCTAGTACAATGTCTTTGTTTTATGGAGAAGGAAACAAACCTGGAAAGAGGAAGAATTTTTGAACTGACATTCCTCTGAATCATGTTAATAATCTAGTACTGCTCTATGTGCTTGAAAAACTTTTCTAGGAAATTTAAATTTTCCCCTAAAATTCCATCTAAGCTACTTTGTTCTCTCTATACAAAGTTAAATAATCTATTTCAAAATTAAACCTTATACTTTACTGTCCTCTATGTACTCTACAATGCAATAGCACTGGCTTCCTTGCTATTCCTTTCAAAAGACAATCTTTATTTCCTGACTCTACATTTCCCCAGGCTGTCCCCTCAGGCCTAAGATGCTCTTCCTCAGCTTCCCTGGCTTCCTTCACATCTTGAAAAAATGCTACCTTCTGCTAGAAGCCTTTCCCAGATCCTCTTAATGCAAATAGCTTCCTTCTGAAATTATCTCTATGTATCTAGTATGTACATAGTTGTTTAAATGTTGTGTCTCCAATTAGAATGGGAGCTCCCTGAGGGCAGATATTATTTTCTGCTTTTCTTTGTATTCCCATAGTTTAGTGCAGTGACTGGCACATAATAGGCACTTAATAAATACCCGCTGACTGAAAACACCAATTTTCAAAATTAAAATAAAAGTCATGCACATATTTCCATGTTCCATAATAGTCTACTTACAATTCCTTTCCAGAGTTTTAAAAGACGATATTCTTCAACTCATTTCTCTTTTGTTTCATTTTGAAAACGGCCTGGTATTAATTATGATTTATAAGGTCTGGGGATTTTTGTTTAGCCATGAAACTTCCTGTATCTTGTTTAGAACCCACTTCCTTGGCAACCTTACCAAACCCATCAAGTTTGAAATCAGAACACTGTCAGCAAAACAGTTTTTGCTTTTATTCAGAAGTCTAAATAGTTAGCACAACCTGTCCTATGTAAAACACTAAAAAGAGAAAAGAAGTTTATGTGAGGACAACGCTCTTAAATCAATATAACTTTTAAATAAGTTGCCTTCCTAAACATAAGGATTACATCATGATGGAAAATATTCTTACTGTATCTTACCTTGTGTAATGAATATCCTGATTCAAATATGATAGGAGGAAGCAAGAGAAGAAAGAACATATTTGGACGAAACATTTCTTCTTCCTATAAACAAAAAAATATACTTTAGAATCTAAGCAGACATTGGAGAGGATTCTGGGAATATGGTGGGGTAGGTCAGAAAACTTTCAGCTCTCCAAATTTCCTCCACAAAAAAAGACAGAACACTGCCTCAGAGCAGCAGAAATAAACATGGGGGTAAAGCAGTTGTCTTCTTAAGACAATCTGAGATGACCTTAGGAGAAACTCAACCTGTAAGGGTTTGGACCGAGTGAATGAGAAACATCAAATGGTCCCAAGCAAAAAGAGCTCTTGGAAGAACTTTAAAAGGACTTCAAAAATTAAATAAGAAAGATTGAAGAAAAATTAGAAAAAAAATAAGAAAATCCAAGAAAATCAAGAAAATTATGAAAAGAAAGTCAACCAACTAGAAATAGAGAATCAAAAACTTAAGGAAGAAAATAATTCCTTGAAAACTAGAATTGAGGAGCAGCTAGGTGGCACAGTGAATAGTGCTCTGGCCTTGGAGTCAGGAGGACCTGAGTTCAAACCAACTTCAGACACTTGACACCTACTAGCTGTGTGACCATGGGTAAGTCACTTAACCCCAATTGCCTCACCAAAAAACAAAACAAAACAAAACAAAACTAGAATTGATAAGGAGAAGTTAATGACATTCTAAGAAATCATAAAATCAAAAGAATGAAAAAATTGAAGAGAAAGTGAAACATCTCATCAGAAAAACAATTGATCTGGAGAATACATCAAAGAGAAATAATATAAGAATAGTCAAACTACCTGAAAATTATGATTAAAAAAAAAACCTTGATACAATATTATAAGAAATTATCAAGGAAAATTGCCCTGAAGTTTTAGAAAACAAGAAGACAAAATAGAAATAGAAAAAATCCATCAGTCACCACCTGAAAGAGACCTCAGGAGGAAAGATTACAAGAATATCACAGCCAACTTTCAAAGCTCTCAGGTTAAGGAGAAAATAATGAAAGCAATAAGAAAAAAACAGTTTAAATGTCATGGAGCTACAATAAGGATTACATAAGATCTAGCAGCTACTATGTTGAAGGACCACAGGTCTTGAAATACTATATTCCATAGAGCAAAAGAGCTGGGGTAGTTTGAAAGAAAGGTGTGGGCTGAGCTGAGTATGATGGGGTGATTCTAAAAAAAATAAGACTGTATAAGAAAAGATAAAAAGAAGTAATTATCACATACAAATAAGGCATAAAAGGGAACAATTGATAGAGAAGAAGCTAGTGGGGGGAGGGTGGGTAGTGATGAAACCTCCCATTGGAAATTGGTTAAAGAGGGAATGACACATATATCTACAAGGGTATAAAAGTCTTCTAAATTCAGAAAGAAATAAGAGGGCAAGGGGCAGGGAGAGGATAAGGGAAGGACTCTTAGAGGAATAGGTAGGTTAAAGAATAGGAAGGCAAAGTAGTGGGTAGAAATAAAGCAGAGGAGTGAGGAGGGATAGCGTAAATAGGGTGAGAAGGATAGTGAGGAAAAATATGAAGGAGGAAAATACACAAGTAACGGTAGCTTAGAGTATGAATATGAATGGGACAAATTTACCCATAAAACAGAAACGGGTAGCAGAAACAGATTTTAACTCAACAACATGTTTCTTTCAGGAAACATAAAAATGAGAGATACACACAAAAGACAAAGTAAAGGGCAGGAGCAGAATTTAGTATGTAAAAAAGCAGGATTAATAATCACGATCTCAGACAAAGAAGTTAAAAGAGATTTAATCAAAAGTGAAAAATAGAGAAACTACACTATATGTCAGCAATATTATTCAATATTGTTTTAGACCATTTAAAATACCTAGACAGTCTTTCAGGATGTGAATGGGATGGAATATTGTTGTGGTATAGGAAATGAGAAGCTAGTTGGTGGATTTAGAAAAACATCGAAAGACTTTGTGTGGGATGCCACTCAAATTAAAAAACAAAACACAGAGGTATCCAAGGAGAAACAGAAAGTTAATTTATTATTATCATTTCAAATGTCGAGATTTGAGTGTCCCTCCACCAGTATGATCTGATGAAGGGAGACAAAGACACAGAAGCAAAAAGCCAGGTTAAATAGCCCTAATGGGCAAATCCCCCTCCCACCAACTGTCCATTACACAAAACTCTACCACAGAACAAAGGAAATAGTATACATCTCTATATTTCTGTTTGCTGAGATAATGTCAAAGAAGCAATTAAAAATGTGCAGTCAAGCTAGACGTTAGCCAGGTCACCATGACAAAAACATAGCTTACAAATGTAACAACTAAATAGACTTTAACTACTGATATATGTTGTACTGTGGAGCCAGGCCACCATGACAGAAAGATAATTTACAAATGAAACAGCTAAGTGCGAGGGGAGGTTTCAAACTTTAGCTACTGATATGGCACTAAAAAAAGGAACTTGCAGAAATCTATACTTAACCCTATCCTACCTCCTGAACTTATTATCAGATTTAGGATAGTCTTATCCCAAACTTTAGTTACACTGAGAAGTCTTCACTGGGACATCCCATTCAACTTGGACTTGGGAAAATGCCAACTACCTTCAGAGACACAGGAGGAAATAAGCATAGTACAATCTTACATACATGTGTATATAAGTAATGTTTATAGATATATGTGCGCGTATACACACACACACACACACACATCTCTACACTTAATTTTAGCTTTATTTAGGGTGATGGGGGGGATAGAGGAGAAAAAAATAAAGTAACAAATGCACAGCAGAAAACCAACAAGAAAGCAAAGCTAGACAGCTTTGAAAACAATGTGTAGTATTTATTTATTACATAGGTTTTCTTGAAATGGAAACTTATTGTTTTATATTGAATCCTCTCTTATGGTCTGCTGTATATACGGCAGTTTTTTTTCTTTTCTCATTTTGTAATTAAGTTTAAAATTGAAAAAAAAATTACAAATAAATAAAGAAAAGAAAAATGAACACGAACAATAATTTATATATGAGATGCCAAAATCATTCTTTTTTAATTGAAATCAACAAATTGTTATCACTGGAATTATACTTAGGAAATAAAATGTATAGCAGTGAAAAATATTAGAATTTGCCTCTCATCTTACAATGACACTTTAAGAAGAAAGACAAAATAATTTAAAACACATTTTAAGATTACGTTTGGTACTAAGACTGGAAAAAGAAATAATGGGTTTACACATTTGGAAGCCCAAAAACTGTATTATATTTTTCATATTTTAATAAACAAACACACTTCTTGTGAGATCAAAGAACTAGAAGCAAAGTAGGTGCCCTTTAACTGGGGCTAAACAAATTATGGTATGTAATGTAAAACAGATATTACTGCAACATAGGAAAAGGAATATGAAGAGTTTATAAAAGTAGGAGAAGACATATGAACTGAAGAGTGAAGTTAACAGAAGAAGGAAATCAATATATATAACATAAATAGAGAGAATAAAAACTGTGGGTGAATGCTATTTAATTTTAAGGACCAAGAGAAGAGCTGAAAAAATGCATTTCCCTCTCTTCTTTGCAGAAGTGGGGAACTATGGGTGTGGAATATTACACAGACTGCCCAACATGAGTTATATGATAACTGTTCCTCTTAACTGCCGATTTAGGTGGCTAGGTTGAACAGTGGATGGTGCTGGGCCTGCAGTCAGGAAGACTCATTTTCCTCAGTTTCCTTATCTGTAAAATGAGCTTGAGAAGGAAATGACAAACCATTATCTTTGCCAAGAAAACCCCAAATGGAATCATGAAGACTCAGACACAACTGAAAAACTACTACTATTTCTTTTTCTTTTTAAAAATCTTCAATAAGAGATGCCTCTCTGGGAAGTGTTGAGGTTTAGGGGTTCTAGGACCCCAAAATCACAACACATGAGTCCTGCCTAAATGAATTCGACCTAAGCCTTCTTTCAGCCAAAGACAAGGCTTATTAGAACATCTGCCATATTGGTCATACTCTTAAGGAATCTGAACATTTGTGACATTCATAAGGAGGAGTGGGCATGAGGAAGTCTCAGTCCCTAAATGGGGGCCAGGATGGATCCTATATACAGAAAGACTATGGAAGGAATCTGGGAGTGGCCAAGTAGTTTGGGGTGACTGGAGGAGAGGTCTAAGGAGGATCTGGATGGGAGTGGCCAGTAAACTGAGGTGGACCCAAGGCCAGGGACCTGGTCCACAGGGCCAAGGGAGAATGGAGTCTAGATAGGATTAAGTGTGGGAAGTGGCCAGGAGGTAACAGAACTGAAAGATTGAGTTAAGCCATAATGAAAGAACAGTTGAGTGAATTACAGCCTCAGGCATTTTCTTTTTTTTGGGTCCAGATCCCAAAGACATGGTCTTTTCCTTTTAAGGGTTGAGATCCCATCCCCATCAGGGAGAAAAGGAGAAAGTGATATTGAAAAATGAAGATGTGAGAGATGAACTCTCAGAAGTGAAGCCTCCTCAAAGGTCAATAGTTCTTGTTAATAGTTCTTGATTATTGCTTTCAAAATCCTCCCCCTCTCAGACCCTGTTTTTTTTAAAGCACATAACAGAAAGAATAAGCCCACCCCCAATCTGAATTGCTTGCCTTTGAAAAAGCTTCCTGCCTTCTCTTGTCTCTGGGATGAGGGGGAAAGGGGTTGGGGAGGGGAGATTGCAGTGGATTTCAGTTTCCTAGGAATTATCTAACTCATGGGAATCTGGCCCTAAACCCCCTCCTGATCATCACACTACTGCTACATCAGCATTAGGTTTACTAAATAAGGACATGTATGTTTGGATTGGCTATACCCTGTTCCTTGTGCTTTGTCTTTGAATTTTCCCGCCAAGAATGAAAGCCCACCTCCCCAGCTAATGGGAGTAAGGGATAGTGGTGGGTGAAGGTTTTTGCATTAGGGTATATAATCTCATTTTGCTTTCTGTGCCTCCCTTCTCTCCTACTGGGAGCCTACCAAAGTAGCAGATGCCCCTTCTTGCAAGATTGTAATAAAAAGTAACCTTTGCTTCCACCTTGAGAAGTCTCTGAGT